ATCACAGCAGGATTCAATGACACAAATTTGCTGTCTCTCTTTGCTATCAGATCAAAGGTTCATGAGGCCTTTAACCCGATTGTGTAGCGGGTGTGTAGTCACAATGGGCTATATACACTTTATTATATAATATAACATAACAAGGGAGAAGGGGACAATAGGTGGGGAGGTAGCCGGGATCGGCGAGGCGAGGTCGGCCACGGACCGATGGGCTAGCTGTTTTCAAGACGCTGGAGGCGGCTTAAGTAGTGGCTGTCGCAGGTTGCGAAACCACTGATGACGAGGCTTAAGCTGCCATGACGAGGCTCAAGAGATTGATGGCCTCCGGCACGATCCGGCACGATGACACGACATCTCCATTCCTTACAGTAAGCTCGTCCTCGAGCTTCAAGTATTCTTCCAATTTGTCTGAATGTCTTTGCGAGTATCTCTTGAAATAAAAAAGAGAGTAGATACCGACTGAGATTCGATAAACGGCGAATGTGAGAATGTGCTGGTGAGGTCAGAGAGTCTTACAATAATACAATGCTACGTCTTTCACTCACGACAGCACAATCGTTCAATCATTCGGCAATGTTGGAAGCTATTGCAGTGGAAAAATAGTGTCCGCGACGATTATACAAAAATAGAATCCGTGCTGGCTGACAACGGAAGAGAGAAACGGTAGAGATACACTCCCTCTCTCGAAGAAAGAGCTCGTCCTCGAGCTCAGTACCATACCGGAGTGATGATGTACATAACATTCTGGTCACAGAAGTTGGCATAACGTTGTGATGGGGTGAGTAAAAGGGTTCCATATAACATTAACAATATAATTTGACCCTATGCTACGAGTTAGTGTTACACATATATAGAAAGTTTCTAGAGTTTCTTAGGCACTTGAAAAAAACAACAGAAGGTTTAAAAGTTACGAGTTATACAACACGTTATTTTCACATGAGGTCAAATCTGTGTATATAGGAGCTTTTTTGAACATCATTATAGTACTTGTACATATCTCTCAGAATCGAAATGCCATAGAGTTAGACAATATTGTCATACTAATGTATGACACACTATTGATTTCCTATAACAACACAAGTTAATTATTCTGGATATATAACAATTGTTCTATGACAATTATAGAATGCAAAACGAATACTAGTCTGTTGAACAGCACTCGATTTTCGACTAGTATAAGGGCGTACAGTTGAAGTGTTAGTGTTTTTATTTTGGACACAAGAACGCTGCCTTAGAATTCTTTGAACCGCCAATTCAAAGAATGTATGCGTAAAGATTTTCGCGACAGTGCGGCTTGAAGAAGGGAAACTAAACTGACCTAAGAGGGCTATTGTTTTGGTAAACAAAAGTAAGCTCGTCCTCGAGCTTCAAGTATTCTTCCAATTTGTCTGAATGTCTTTGCGAGTATCTCTTGAAATAAAATAGAGAGTAGATACCGACTGAGATTCGATAAATGGCGAACGTGAAATGTGCTGGTGAGGTCAGAGAGTCTTACAATAATACAATGCTACGTCTTTCACTCACGACAGCACAATCGTTCAATCATTCGGCAATGTTGGAAGCTATTGCAGTGGAAAAATAGTGTCCGCGACGATTATACAAAAATAGAATCCGTGCTGGCTGACAACGGAAGAGAGAAACGGTAGAGATACACTCCCTCTCTCGAAGAAAGAGCTCGTCCTCGAGCTCAGTACCATACCGGAGTGATGATGTACATAACATTCTGGTCACAGAAGTTGGCATAACGTTGTGATGGGGTGAGAAAAGGGTTCCATATAACATTAACAATATAATTTGACCCTATGCTACGAGTTAGTGTTACACATATATAGAAATTCTAGAGTTTCTTAGGCACTGAAAAAAACAGCAAAAGGTTTAAAAGTTACGAGTTATACAACACGTTATTTTCACATGAGGTCAAATCTGTGTATATAGGAGCTTTTTTGAACATCATTACAGTACTTGTACATATCTCTCAGAATCGAAATGCCATAGAGTTAGACAATATTGTAATACTAATGTATGACACACTATTGATTTCTTATAACAACACAAGTTAATTCTTCTGGATATATAACAATTGTTCCATGACAATTATAGAATGCGATACGAATACTAGTCTGTTGAACAGCACTCGATTTTCGACTAGTATAAGGGCGTACAGTTGAAGTCCTAGTGTTTTTATTTTGGACACAAGAACGCTGCCTTAGAATTCTTTGAACCGCCAATTCAAAGAATGTATGCGTAAAGATTTTCGCGACAGTGCGGCTTGAAGAAGGGAAACTAAACTGACCTAAGAGGGCTATTGTTTTGGTGAACAAAAGCTCCTCTACCTAGACGTACTGCTCCGCTTAAACTGATGGTTCTGTCCTGAAACCAACGACAGCATCGTATTAACGGTTGTTCCGTGTCTGTTGATGTTTCCGTTGTTGTAGGCAAAAGTGATTGATGTGTATTTTGGGTGGAAACATTAACCGAAACGGAACGAGGAAAACACATTTTGGACGGTTAGTAGCACGACTTGTCGCAGGAGCGACTCACAAGATTAGTAGTTGTTATATTGGGATGATTGACATCTCCAACAGAAGAGCATTTTCATTGGTTCGTTAGCTAAGGACGAAAAGTCGTCATTGCAAACGAGATCTTCAATGAATATGTCCTTAATGCATACCTTGTAGTAGAGGTCACGTCCTAGGCTTGCAGAATGCAGTTTATGTCAGCGATTCCATTTCCATCTTCCATTATTATGTTCTTCAAGCCGACGGCGGATCGATCGGCGGAATCATTCCTTGTGGAGATAAAGGAAAATCATGGAGGAAGCTGTTCCATTTAATGGGAACTTTACCATGATGAGCTCCCTCTTTCCGAAGGGAAGGTTATATTAAGTGACTAGCAATTATCATGTCATCATTTCATGCAAAACAGCATGATTTCAACTCACGTAATGTATAAGGCTTTTCGCGACTCTCTGAAAGTAGCAGGGGCACCTTTCAACCCTTGAGCCATTATCGTGAACTGGTTCCGTCTAAGAAACGAGTAGCATCCTGTGCATTTATGTTCGTCAGAGTACTTCGAAGGAACCACGTTTGAAATCGATTACCGGATAGATTCCTTCCTACTTACAATATCTAAATCTAGAATGTCATGTATGTTCGATAGGTAGAAAATTCGGGCCACTGAAATTGCATTAATTTGACGATAATCAGTTTTGAATGTGTTGCCAATCTCTAGAAGGTTTCTTT